AAATAGATAGACTAATAGCGTTACAGAAAAAAAATCTAAGAAGTCCAGAATGAGTGAAGTAAAATAGAAAAAAACATATTTTAAATCATACACAAGTAATTAATTATTCTAAAAACAAGAGTCGTTTTGTGAAGAGCGGATTAAATGCCCTTGAAAGAATGGAATATTATTAATAAAACAAATAATGAAAAAGAAAGTTATGCATGTATTCAGGCCCGGTCTGGCACCGTTTGGAGCTCTCGGCTGGAGTCTTTAGTGGAGTCCCCTTATCAGGACTATATATATATATATATATATATATATATATATATATATATATATATATATATATATATATATATATATATATATATATATATATATATATATATATATATATATACATAAAGTGGTTCTTAGGGATTTAAATTTACGGGCTCCCAATCATTCTACGGCAATAAAAAAGTAAAAAATGTGTATATTGCAGGCCCATCGGAGTAGCTCAAAAATTTTTTAGACATAATCGAATACAAGTCATTTATTTTGTGGGGCCAAATATACCGCAGTACTAGAAAGATACAAAATAACGATGTTGGGTGGCCTCAGAGGGGAGCCCCAAAAATATGAAGAAAGTGGATTCAAAACAATTATTTTTGTGGCCAAACATACAACGGTATTACATAAATACAAAATAATGATTTTAAGGCCTTCAGAGAGAGAACCCCGCTCATTCTACGGCTAAAAAAAAATACGAAACATTTATGTTGGGAATTCAATGAAAGAGCCCCAAAAATTTGTGAAAATAAATGAATACAAAATAATTACTTTGGGTGTACTAGAAAAATATAAAACAATTATTTTGAACCCCTTGGGTTGGGTGACGTCGAGAATGGCCGACTAGCCGACCTGGCTAGAATGGGCCTGTATTCATCTAATGTTTAGATTCAAATATGCAATTAATGCTATATAGGGATGGTTGCGGAAATATGAAGTATTTATAAGGTAATTGGATGAAAGTTTCTTTTGAACTCATTATTTGTCCAATAATTGTTTACACAATACATTTTTTTTTTTTTACATTAACAGCTTACTTTTCTGATAAACATTTTAATAAATTTTGCCCTCCGAGGCGACTGAAAAGAAGATGGCCCCGTGATATCCTAATGTAGTCATATCATTAGAGTGCTACCATTGGGTAGTTACTCAGCAAGTGTATTCATGTCATTATATCAATTATGTCCAAATTTACTTGATGTATTTATGTAATACAGTTGCAAATGTCATAAAGAAATAAAAAAAAAATAAATTTTGAACAAAATATCCAACTTTCCAGAAACTATAATAAAAAAAAAAATAAATCTGTGACGATAATTTGTATCATTCAATATAATATCATAAAATCTTGAATTTTCCGGTGTCGGATGAAAAAACTGGAGTTTGGACGATGAAGTGTTTGGTAAACGCAAAGATATTAGCTGCTTTAACAGATAAGTCCCCTGACACTACTCCTAAAGTTGGAGATTATCTGCCAAGAACTAATGGAGTCAAACCGTCTTTGATGAGAAGTCGTTAAGTCCTGGTAAATCCAACATGTACTTTGCCAAAAATATATTAAAGCGGAAAATAAACAAATGAAATATCTTATGAGTATTCACTTAAAGACACAAGCGAATACACATAACCAACAAGACACATTTATATTTAATTCTGTTTCTCTTTATACCATAAGAACGTTTACAATTTAAAATGTATGAATCTAAAAATTAAACAAAACGTCCCTAAAAAACATAACTTCTTATAAATGAATTGGTTCCAGGTTTTGTAGAGATTTCAGCGCATAAACTGAATAGTTGGTTGATTATTAATTTTGCCTCTGGATAGTTTATTAATTTAATGGCAAAAAGAGAGAAATTCTCTACTATATTCAAATTTATTAGGGAACCAGATAATTTATAGCTCAGGTCATTTAGTATTTCAAATAGCATCCATTTTTCCCATCATATATGTTATTATTTATAATGTCTGATTGACGCAACACTCCCCCCATCTACAGAAAATTCTCTTCTTGTCCTTATAAATTACTAAAGATGATTTAAAGTCACTAAAGTTTACGTCATATTATGTATATTTATAGGCATAGCAGCCTATACTTATCCACAACCGTCAGTTAAAACTAGACCAATCATATACATGAGCTTTTTTTCAACGTAAATATTATTGACTTTAAATATATCTGATATTTAATAATCTATCATGACAAGTAAAGAATGTATGATGGAAGGCATGGATGTATGTGGAAAGTATATTATGATGGAAAGAATGTATAAATACATGATGGAAAAGAATTACGCTATTTGAAATGCCAAATAGTTAAAAAAAAATAAACAAGTATTCCCATTTGTAAATCTAAGACTGTGAATTCGCAAAACTACAACTTTCTTTATTACATTCAACGAATCTTTACACCAATTAGAATATAATAATATATATAACTCATAAACCAAAAATAATATTGCGCTAGCTTTAACATTCAGGTATTACATTTCAACAATTTCATATAACACACATGCTTTCATTAATTAAAAAAGGTTTCTGGCCTTTAAAAAATATAAAACTTGTATACACAATGAAGCTGACAAGGATAAAAAAAAAAACGTATTTTGGATATTTTTGCGATAAATCGATTAAGACCACTAAAATAGACGAAAACTGCGGTCCATGAAATTGAAAATGATTTCATTTTCAGTTAATTGAACTTGACGACAGACTTTTTGACCCAATTTAATGGTTTGTACCAATGTTCATATTTCCAGAATTTATGACTACGATACAAACTCCTAAAGTTTTATCAAAATCGTCAAAGAACGAGCGGCACTAAAAAAAAAAAAACCGATACAATTTTAAACAGTCACTTTTCCAAATTAACCAGAACCTTACAACGTAAAAATGCAGTGATGTCTCAATCCAATATTTTTGATTGATCATGATAATTCAAATAACATAATTCACTAATTGAGAAATAGAAAAATGAACAAAGAAAATCAAGTCAAACTTTGAGACCTGATACAATGCCCTTGAAATACTTCGCCATCGTTAAGTACCTATCGGTAGCAATCAACCAATCAGTCCCTCTCTTTGAAGATATCGGGATTGGAGATCCTCAAAGAGAGAATTTACACGTAGCCAAGTTAGCTTCGACCTGATTGCTAATGATGAGGAACCCGATAAACGGATCAAACTTGTCTCCGATTAGGTGATATTGGACAACTCGCAAGTCCATTAACGTCTGAAACAAAGTAACGTCTGAAGCAATTAGATACAATTTTGGACACTAGATTTTTTTTTAATGAAAAATATCTCACATAATTTTTAAATGAACTTGTCTTACAAAAAAAATAAAAAAAAACCCTTACATTGTTTTCAACTTGACATGCGCCAAAAAAGTGGTAATTTTTTTTTTGTGATAGAGATCCTATTTTAATCAAATTAGAAACTTCTCGGAAATGGTGCGTATCGAATTTGGAGATCGATAAACTTTAATCGATATAATGAGATACTTAAAACTCATGATGACCCACTTAGTTTCCGCTTGAGGTAATCTAGAGCCCAATTTGTCAAAATAACCAGGTTATTTAGACCAAACAGTCCGATATTTTTGAAAGCAGTTTTTTATCTCGATTTTGCTTTACAGTTATTTTAAGATTCAAATGGAAAGCAAAATGGTTGTTTGTGAATTTTTTAATTCATTAATTAAAACAGAAAACGTCACATTCCTGAGAATCTTCGTAGATAAAGAAGATGTAAGATACAATAAAATGAAGCCCTCCCCCCGAGATATTTTAGACGAGTGTTAATAATTTGATAAAAAGGGGTCTCTACTATGGACTTCTATTGTGTAACCAGTGTATCTTTTCCTGAAATCTAAACTCAATAATTGGTTAAGGTCAAATGAGGAAAAATTCAGTACGAAAGTATAATATTTTATTAATTTTTAGTCATTTTTAAGATAAGATAAAATACATAATTAGACGTGAATATAATTTAGGAGTTATGTGAATGTGAGACTCAAAATAAAAAAAGTAATAAATTAAATTTTATTTTATTTATCCAACGATTCTCTCTTCTTTTTAGGTCTTCTTCAAAACTATAAATAAGAGGCAATTGAGTACAGTGCAAACAAAAAATAATAAATATGTTTTCTGAAAATTTAATAGTTGGACGAATCGTAGTGAAACTTTTTTTTTTCATAAAACTAATGGATTAAATTTAATGAAGTCATGTCCCTAAACATGACTAATTACCCCTTAAATTCAGCAAAGGCACTACACCACTTAGCAAAGACAATATTGACCAATTGTGTTGAAGTCCATCATGGAATTGGGTTTATCGCTAGTGTACAATCCGTGAAAATGGTTTCCGTAAATAAATAATAATTATCAAATGTTTTGGGGGAAAATAATGCATGATAAAAATACAAAATTTTGGATTTCTTTCAATAATCCCCAGAATTAAGAGTGTAGAAGAATAGAATAAATAACAAAAATGTTAACCTAATGTTTAAGAATAACTATGGGTGCCCATCCTTCCTCCCTCCCCTCAAGAACGATAGTGTATTACCCCTCCCAAGAAAATTGATTGCTTTCTTCATAAAAACGATGCAAGTGAAAGTAAACTTATGAAATTGTTTGTTTGGTTTTCTTCCTTATTCGTTGGTTTAAAATTTCTCCCCACAAATAAAACTTCATAAAACCATGGTTCCCTCGAAAAATTCATAACCCCCCAAAAAAAATACAGCTTTGAAAAAAAGGAGAGAGCTCCGAGTAAAAATTTAATGCGCAATTTTTGGCATAATTTTAATTCTACATTTTAAAGACAATGAAATCATCACAGAAGTTATCAGGCTATTGAGAAAAGATGTAATATTTACTAACGGTTTTACACATATACATATATATTAAGTATATTTTCCTTTAAAAAAAAAAAAATGCTAAGAAACGTTCCTGTAATCACGTATGCACTAGGTGTGTAAAAACTATACCAAAGGATTGAACACGGCTCACAGAAGGCTGAGGGATATGAATAGTTCAGAGCGTAGTATGGTGCCTTTACGTGAAAAAGAAATGGTAGTTCTTCTGATGTTACGTAAACCAGAGAGACGATGATAAGAGGAAAAAGCAACTGATGAATAGACATTCAGCAGAAATCCATTCAAATAACCATCTTGTTAGCTTTGAGAGAAAACCAGCGTCCACACTCGATAAACGATTGGCTTGAGAGAATACAGTAAAAAATAGAAAAGAAGAATAAAGTAAACAATATTCATCTCCTGTTGAATCTATCTTGATGTTGAAACTAAGTTAATAATTTGCACAACTAAAACTAATAGCCTAAATTTTGTGTTCAAGTGTCGAAAATTTCCATTGAAGTTTAAAGTTTTAGACATCAAGGGACCAATATGGTACCATATTGTCTGTCTCTAATCCAATCCATAGCGCTTTTTATTTATTTGTATCTGTAAATAACCTTTGTCACTTTGATTTTTACTTATATTGTTTTTGGTAAAGGAATAATTTCATTTCGAAAAATTTCATATGAAGATGTGAAGGGAGAAAAATAGTAAAACTCCATTATTTTCATAATTGTGAACAAGATCCGTCCAAAACACCATCTTTCGATTTAATAAAAGTATTAACAATACCAAACAATATAGTGTTGCTGCACCTCATAAATTGTAAGCATTATTCTTGCTTTTAAAATCGTCTAAAATATATATATATACACACACATACATACAGGCAGATGAAAACAGTGATGACGGAACCTACAAATATATGGACAAAATCCAATAGGTGAGTACGGTGTTAAAAAGATTAATGACTTTTGTAGGAAAAAACAATGTACTGTTGATTTTTGTGGAGAAAACAATTTATGTCCTAACATTTTAATATTTTTATGTCGTGCTTTGAGCTACTATATATGTAATTAATGTTTCAGCAAAGTTTTTTTATTAATTTTCCTTTGGTAAGCATTAAACAATAAAGGTGAACGCGGATTTTGCTCTCCTAAAAAAAATCTAAGGAAATTGAGTTTCTCTCCTCACCCGCTCCTAAAGGTACCTAAGAGATATTTACAATATTGATATTTCTAGACATATATACGGTTATTTAAATACATGTATAGATTAAGTTATCCTCCCTTATTTCAATGTATACACACAGGACCGATTTCCTATTGGATAAAAAAAAGTATACCGCGGTGGGAAAGGAGGATTGTGCGCTGGGCAGCATAATGGGAAAGGGCTGTAGAGCAGATGGAACACGTCCTAGCGACCTAAAGATGCCAATAGGAGAGAGATGGATGTTCTATTAAGATGGAACTGCTGTTCCACAAAGAGGAGCTGCTCCGGATATTGGGAAGAGGCGCCTCTAGGCGAACTGTTGTCTGTCTCACGCAACTCCATTTCTACAGAAACCCCTTTCTTATTTATCTTGTTCTTCGGGAAATTTACTCTCGCAGTATATTTTATTCGAATCGCTAAAAACGGCATTGCTTTCTGTATTAAGTTCGGGTCTCGGACAGAAGAGTAAATATTTTAGGGGAACGAATTTCCGGGAATGCGAAATATAACCCATAAATGTAATCTTTATCTATATGAAAGAATGTCGGAAATTGCTTGGTGAATGGTTTTTCGTTTACTTTTTTTTTTAATTTACAATTTTCTTAGTACCTATTGGATTATACACGATCACGTTAATGGATATACATTCTTATGTTGAAACTCTTTTGGTAAAGGAAAAGGCTGTTTGTGACTCAAATATTTAGCCATATAAAAATTGTGTTATATGTAACATGAATTTTGCATGATTTTTAATACTGAATAAAATACAAGAGACTCCTTTCAACGCCAGAGAACTTCTTTAATGTAAATTATCTCATTTTCTTTTTTCCCTAGGTTGGATCTTTATAGCGAAACTTCGAAAGTTTCTTCCAAAGTCATCTGTTATATCATATCACATTATATTAAAAAAATGTAAACTAACTAAATAGTGTATCTTCTGAAAAAAATCATGGGGAAGGAAGATACTACGAAGGCTGTCAAAACCATCGAAGCATCTCATTAGTTAGAGTCCTATCTAAGTAATACTTCAATATTCTAAAGGATTGGCTAAGGGGATTCATCGACAGGACTCTAGAAGAAGAACAATGCTTTTTAGGGCACAATGGAGCACCCAAGACCTAATTTTCGTAATGAGGCAGCTCGCAGAAAATGTCTTGGAAAAGAACAAAGAAGTTTGTAACTGTTTAGGGGATTATCCCAACAATTCGATAGGAATAGGAAGATGGGCCTTGCTAGGCACTGAATGAGCAGGAAGTCGAGCCAGGTTAAGTAAAAACCAAAGGGATGTGAAAAGAACCACCATCTCTAATTTCAAAGCACCTAAGGAATAAGGCAGGGCTGTAGTCTCAATCCATAAATGGTGCTCGACAAGGCACTGGTGAGACAAGACGAGAATGAGATCTTATAAGCTAGGCCACAGAGAACTGGGAATAGTTCATGCCACCCTTCGATGGTACACAGACGATATTGTAGTAGTTAAAAACAAAGGAAGAAACCTCCAACAATACAACATCAGAGTTCTTCAGGAAGAATTACATCTATTGAATATAGAGATAAATAGCAACAAATAAAAAAAAAAATAAAAAAATAGGGTAAGTAGGAAAACTAGAATATTTGGCGCCCATCTGAACAAGAACGTGTGTATAGGCGGCGAAATCATAGAAAAAGAGTGAAGCAGGCTTCTGTCGAAAGAGAAGGGGGAATCAGAAACACCATAAGAAACACATCTTTAATCTTGGATTAAATATAGTAGATAGACAAGCCGAAAACGGGATATGCTGGTTCTGCTATGTCAAAAGAATATAGAAGTAAATAATTGAAAAAATCATGTGTGAAACAAGAGTAGAAGGAAAAATACCCAGAAAGACATGAGATAGTGTAGTCAAAAATGGGAAAGGAATAAATTGCTACAAAATCAGTCAGCTGGTGCAAGATCAAGATACAGAAGGGGTATTCGTGCAACCAATGTAGTATTTTAAACCTCTTGAAGTCGAAACAAGTGTAGAAAGTCAGTTGGAAAAACAAAAATTTTAATACTAGTTACACAGCGGTTTTAGCCGAATAAAATACGTGAAAAAGTCATTACAAGTTGAAAACTCCTGCCCTCCCCACCCTAATGATTAGCTTTACTTACTTTAATTACTGAGCAAAAAACACTTTTGATCTTCGCTATTTGCTCAGATTAACAGCTGAGCAGCAAAATAAGGTGAAGTATTTAGAAAATTGTAGTAATTATGGCGTCCAAATTATTAAAATTCTATCATGAAAATTGTCCCTAATCTGAGAATCACCCAAATAGACTTAGCGCGGGGATATAATCCATGTTAATGGCATAATTCATTTTCGTAACAAATAATTAAAATAACACGAGAGGGATTTTATTTGAAAACGCACAACTTCAACGCTTGGCAACTTTATCAAAGAATGCTATTTTTTATTCAGAACATTATATATTGTATAAACAATATTCAGTGCTCATTTTTTGCCCCCCATTAAAATTTTCATCAGAGCTTAGACAAAGTTAACCTGTCTGCGCTGAAAGAATCTTTTTTTTTTTTTTTTTAACTTATATTATGATATTTACAACTGTATTAGTATGAATACATCAAGTAAATTTGTACAGAGAAATATTATTACATGAAACACGCTTGTTGAGAAACTACCCACTGGTACCACTCTAATTAAAAGAATCTAAAGACATTTTTTTTGTTTTCTTCATAAATTTGTTATACAGCTCATAAAATTGAATTAATTGTGTATTTGCATAAAACCGTTTAAAATAGAATAATACTTCTGAAATAATATAGAAAAAAAAAATCAAAATTATTATTTTATAATGATTTAAGGATAACTAAAAGAATGTAGATTTCCAAGAGCAAAAGGATGAAATTAACAATTTTGTTGAAAATACTATAATGGACCGATAACACAATAAAAATGTCGACTCATAAATCATCTGTGAGTGGCAATATTGAAAATGGATTAATCAAAATATATTTATAAATCCGTTATTTGATAAATAGACTTTGCGGGAGGGGTGTAAGCAATTTTAATGGAATAATACATTCCGCCACAAATAATTAAAATAACCCTAGAGGGATTTCATTTGGAAAAGGCACACTTCAACGCATGGCAAAGTAATCAAACTGATCAAGAAATGCTATTTGTCATTCAGAACATTCCGGGAAATTGCAAACAAATGATCTCTGACGAACAACGAAAACATTTCCAATTTGAAGAGTGCGAGACAAATTCCCAAATAAAGAGATGTCAGCTAATGTTATTGATCGATTTGCTTTTTATTTATTTTTAGACATTTCCGGAAAAGGTTATTACTTTCCTAGGAGCGAGATTAAATAAAAAGCTGGAAACATTCATCAGTAGAATAGTATTTTTTTACAGCTGTCGAAGGAAAACATATATAATATTAATAATAAATAAACCTCTACCACCATGACCATGAAGATTATCGAGTTCAGTCCTTAGTAATGAAGTATTGGATTATACTGGTAGGAAGGTGGTGAGGACAGAATTAACGCTATATCTTTTTCAGGTTGATTATCCAATCCATTGAATGCAATACCTTTTCGATAACATTGTTACAAGAATATAAATCTAGTACTTTTAAAGGACACTCAGTGTTATTATATATGGTGTCATTAAGGAATATATAAGCCCTTATAGGTTCAATTTGTTTATTTTACTTCCAACGACGTTTGAGCTGATCAGCTCATTTTTAAGTCATCTACAAACAACAATTAACAATAATGATCGCTTATTATCTTGTCATATAAAAAGTGAGAACTTACTCTACTAAAATGTATTTCTATATTTATATTGAATAACTATTTGTAGTACACCAAATACCAAAGTAACCATATTCCTTGCCTCCTTTGCGCATCTATTGATGCTTGTCATTCTATAATTGCATACATTAAATTGCATTTGCATATAAATATATATTCTTTTCTGAGTATGGAAAAGATATCCAGTCACGTTCGCTGAGAATTGTTTTTTGGTCAGTTTTTCAATGTATAAGATTCTAAGTCTTTGAGCAGTATTTAATTTATTACTAATATTGAATGCACTCCTCTATATGTGTATCATCTTCTATTATCTCCGATCAACCTACAGCTTAGGATATAGATTATATAAAACTTTTATAATGTTTACAATACTATTATTGTATTCATTAGAACACATTAAGGTACAGATGTAAATCATTACATAATAATTATTACATTATTAAAAATAATAATTCTATTCTATATAATTTTTTTTTGTCTTTCTAGTTTGTTATTACTATTATTTTTTTTTCTTATGCTATCATTTCTTGTCCTTGATATCATATTTGCTGAATACCAATGTAGATGGCAAATTTATTGTGAGCCAGAAATATGTATATCTAATAAATAAATAAATAAATTCTATAATAAAAATTTGTATATGCGATTATTTCAGAACTTATACGATTTCTATTATTGATTCTATTTTGTTTCATTTAAATTGTATGCTCAGCCCGTACGGTACTACCTCATCCCTCTATTGTTTAATATTGACTGCACATTTGAGCTCTTTAGGAATGAATGTCTCTGTAGAAATTAACAAATAAGTGAATGGGATATAGCTCTGTTGATGTTTATCATTTTCCAATGCCCCAATCAAAATTTTAATTAATAAAACCATTCTATCTAGATGCTGACGGTAATGAGCACATTATTTCACCATAATTTACAACTTAAAACATACAATGTGGGTATCTTTGAAGAAGTGCTGCATAAATGCGATCTTTGTCACTTTTTGTAACATTTATTTCTGAAGTGTTCTTCCGCGTTGAGCTCAGTTTCGGATTGGGATTATTGAAGTGAAAACTTCTTTAGTGGCACTTTTTTTTTTTTTGTGTGTGTGGAGGGTAAATTATATTGAGCCGTCAGATCTCCGATGTATAACGCTCGGGTAAAGTCGGCTGGAGTAGACTAATTGAAGTGTTTCTTCATATTAAAATATTTCAGAAACTAAAAATCGGACTTGCATACTGTAGGCAAGAGAAATGTTAAGCATTTCACACTCTAATGAGCTATTATTCAAAATTCTATCTTAACGCGACACTGTGTTAGAGAGCCGAAAATGAAAAAAAAAATAGTGTCGAAAACCATCTGATAACGAATTTATTGGAGATATGGATTAATGTATCTCAGAAACTAAAAATCGGACTTGCGTACTGTAAGCAAGAGAAATGTTAAGCATTTCATCCTCTTTCTAATGAGTTATTATTCAAAACTTTATCTTAACGCGATATCTTGTTAGAGAAGCGAAAATGGAAAAATAGTGTTGAAAACCAAGTGGTAACGAGTTTATTGGAGATATGGATTAAAATATCTCAGAAACTATAAATCGGACTTGCATACTGAAGACAAGAGGAATGTTTA